CTACTACAGATAGATAGCTAGATAGATGAAATAACTGCCCAAAGGGGCTGTGGTATCAGTCATGCACAGAAAAAAATAATGCAAGGGGTAGGTTGTAATGGTATTGCATGAGTAACTTGTCTTAATTTTAAGTATTAAGCTTCAGTCCTTCATATCAAGTTCTGGCCATGAGTTGGTTCATATCAAGTTCTGGCCTGTAACTGTGTATGGTTTCACAACAAACCATATGGCATGGTTTGTTGTGAAAACTTGAGACTTACCATGAGCATGTTGTACAAATTTTGCTTGAAATTCCTCTAGTACGTCTTCACAACTCCTTGAAATTCCATATAACTTGAAGTGATATTTCATTACATATCTATCTCGTGGGTGAAGTTCATTCTGAAGGCTGAAATATGGTATTAGGACAGCATCCACGCATCTGGAAATCCTGAATCACTTTCTAGATAGGAAGATATGTAATTTCTATTAAATCAGACACTGCAAGTAAACAGTTTCAAATTTTTCTCCTGTAATTGCATATTTATAAACCATGCAGCAACTTCCATATAATCATCTAGATAAGCATCTAAAAAAGAGCAGATGAGATAAGCCATCAGCTGCTGTGGTTTTGATTTGACTAAACTGTGTCATATAAAAATGAAAGTAATCTTGTGAGCTATCTGCAGACAGTTCCTGCTCCTCTGAGGTTTACAGAACTTCCAGGAGGTGTGATCTGTATGCAGTTGGAGCGCAATGCCTCAGAGGCAGGTTCCCTACTCTTCCATTGTGTATGCACAAAGAAATATTTTCTTTCCAACATTTTTATGGCATCTCGTAAACTGTTCATGTTTCAAAGACAATGGTGTTCTCATAGAAATTGTCCCCATGGATTTGGGTAAGGGTGGCCTCATACGTGTAGTCAGCCAGCATGGCTGATGGAAGTGCTGCCTGGAGGTAGTTTGGAAGGGAAGCTCTCCATGCTGGGGGTATCACTGCTCATCTGTTGGGAGGGCAAAGTGGACCTCAGGTTAGCTGCAACCGAGTTTATTAGATCAGCTGCAACGCCATAAAAAAGACCTGAGTGTTTATCTGGCTGCTGGAGGGCTAGGAGGGAGAAAATGAAGTAATCCTACATCGAGAGTATTTGGTCATTCCCGGTCTGAGACTAAAGTAATGACAATTGGGGTGAACTCTAAAGCCAACAGAATAGATTCTGTGTATTCATAGTCAAACCCTTCATTGTTTGAAAATTTGCTATGGTGAGATACGTCTCAGGTAAATTTTAGATATTGCAGTGCACTGTTAGTAATAGTTCTGCAGGTACTGCACAGTTAGAAATAAATGTACATAATTTAGGTGTACATAAATAATGTACACCTTGATTTGAGACCTGAAAAATATGGTTGTGATTCTTCTTTTTTCTTTTTTTTTTCTGGGAAGAGTGAGCTCTTCTTCATATTCTATGACCTTTTCCAATCCCAAAGAAGAGATGGTGTGCTCAAGAAAAGACTACTCTCTTCATCTGATTTAGTATTTAGCAAAATTTAACTTTCACCCTCCTGTATTGACATGTTCAAGTATAGCCTGTAGGGTTTGTTTTTTTCATCAGCTTCAGAAGACTTTCCAAATACAGTAACATCACTCAGATAATATTAGATTCTGAGCTTGTTATTAAGAATTATTAATATTAATATTTGAAAAGCTCTGGATGTTGATTCGGGTCCATATGGCATATGATTAAAAGAGAACAGTTCCATTAAGTGTAATAAATGCTATGAAACTCAAACTGTCTGGATACTTGAAAATAGACATTCTTTAAATCAAGAGTATAAAACACACTACAATTATGACAGCAGTATCTGTAAATGGTTAGCTGTCAATCCAAATGGCTTTGGTTTCCCTAAGTCCACACAAAACCAAATACTCTGGTTTGCTTTCTGTCACCACTGTGCTGACACTAATTTAGGAAATGCAATTTCTCCATTAGTATCATTCTGGGATATTTTTTTAATTATCTTGTTACTCAGCATCTCTTGTTCAATTGTAGAGAATATAATTTCCATTGTAGAAGTAGCACATTACATTGAATTGCCATGCTGTGAACAAATCATTCTGCACACATATGGCATTTCCATGTACCAGTTGATACTACTTCTTTTGTAAGAGCTGAAACTGGAATTTGCATTACAGCAGTGTTTCATTTTAATGAAGCAATGCATATTTTTATGCATATATATACACTTGCATAAGTAGTCGAGTTCACAGATTTCTATGAAAAGGAGTATTACTGTACACAAAAATAAAAATCAACAGTACTTATCGAAAATAATTTTTCTATGCACGAAACAACAAGAACAGTGTTCTTCAGGTAGCTCACTAGATAACGTCAAGCCTCAAACTTCTATAACATTTCAGGTAAATGCATTCACTGGGTACTGCAGCTCAGAAACCAGCCTCCAATGTTATTTTAGTATCATATGACCGTTCTACTGACACAAGTAACTGAACTCAAATGCATCCATAATAAATAACTGCTTCCATCTGTGGTTAAAAAGTAACATCTGGCACTGTAACATCACATAAATATTGGTTAGGTAAAAATTAATTATATATTTTAATGTAACATCTTTCTGCAGTATTTGCAGGTTATCCAATCTGGTTTACAATGTGCTGTAAATATTTACACACACACACATATACATTTATATGTGCTACATATACTGAGCTTTTAGCCATAGTTCCAATGGCTGCAGTTTGAAGGCAGTTCACCATTTCTCAATTTTCGTATTGCTGATTCAGTTAGAGAAGCAACAGTCACAATCTCCTGTAGTGTCCAATTCATGCAGTAAATACTATCTATAATAAAAAGGAAATGCTTTCTTCCATAAGATGAACTTGACCTTTTTCAACTGTGCTTCTAGACTTAGACATAATTTTTTAATTCCCTCAAAGCAGAACTGAACTGTTCTGTTGAGGCACTTGGTTTCTGTGTATGCTTGAATGGGGCTCTGAGCAACCTGGTCTAGTGGGAGGTGTCTCTGCTCATGGCAGGGGGGTTGGAGTTAGGTCATCTTTAAGGGTCCTTCCAACCCAAACAATTGTACAACTCTATGAACTTACAAGCACGTGGACTGTGTAGGAACAATGTAAATAAAATAAATGACAGCATAACACTGGTCTTGTTTATTCACCAGCTGAATTGAAAGGATGTAATACTAAAAATATTATTCCAGTTGTCCATAGAAATACCAAATGAAAGTCTAATCCTGACTGCAACAAGCAATAGTACAAACCAACTGAATCAAACAAAAAATCCACAAAGTCAGATTAGCTTTAGGAGCTCATTGAACTTATTTTTCCTGACAAATGTCCTCCTCTGTCTAACACCAACCCTGCAACACCAGAGGTCTCGTGAGTAACAGAAGTTCATGTTATGTATGTGAAGCAGCTACCCATGAATAGATGGGAAGTAATGCAGAATATTTATTTAAGACTTATAACAGCCAGTTATGATGGGAGTGACTGATAAACCTGCCTGAGCTTTTTTATTTTGTCATAGCTTCAATACTTAAAACGACGGGAGTATTTCAAAGGCAGTTTTAATGAGGTACTTAATTATTATAGACTTAGGATTTTAGCATGGGGGATGAGATGTGAATAAAACCTGTATGGTTTGGAATAAAAAGTTACTAAAGGAGAGCAAACGCAAATGGAAAAAATGGAAGTAGGAAAGACACATAAAAGGTTGAAAATAAAGTCAAAGAAACAAAACATGGACAAAGAAGTGATATTAATAGCAAGCATTTCCTTTCTAAATGCTACTAAGGTGACAAAGAAGGCATTCAGTAAATAAGAAAGGAATATGTAGCTGTTTCGACAACTGGATGATTGTAAAATTTTTACACAACCTCATTGTTGAACCTGAAACATTGCAGTTGCAACAACACTTTTCTCAAGAACATTTCTGAGGCATACTCAAATCCTCTGATCAATATTATAGAGCCTGGAATCAACCCAAAATTTAGAAGCAGCTGTTTTAATAGAATTTTATTTTGCTAACATTTTTAAGTGGGAGTGAATTTTGAAATCTGGAAAGGTGTTACGGTCATGAACTATCTTTCATGCATCATTTCCTCTTAAAACATAAGGATGATGAGGAAGAGCAAAACCACCACAGGCTGAGTGCTCTTTTAGTGTGTTTGGGTAATGCTATCAGGATGTCACTTCTGTTTCCTTCGGGGCCTAAAGGTTCTCAGGGCTGCCCCGGTCCTTTTCTTGATAGAACAGGTTGAGCACTGTCGTAGCTGGGCATGATTCCCCCCCCCAGCAAACTGCGTATTTGTGGAAAAATAAGGTTTAATGTTACCAAAGGAACGCAGTAAGGCGGAACACGGGTGCTGCCGAGAAAAGGACTAAGGAGGGATCAAGCACTGCATCGATGACTACACAAAACCCAGAAAAATTTCTAACTCGTTTCTCTCCTAACAGAATACCAAATGTATTTCAATAATATACCAAATGCACTTTAATATCTGGACGAGAAGAATAAACGGGGGGGCAGGGGGGGAACCCTCATCACAATATCCTGCATCTCAGGAAGGTGTGCCAAGTCCCTCTGCTTCGCATTTCGTGGGCATCTTAATCCTGGGTCATCCAATTAAAGAAAACCTCCTTCGGCGGTTTTACGAGCGCAGCACATCAACTCCCTTTGTTTACACACTGGAACAAGATGTTCTTTCCTGTTCCGACAAGGGAAGGAGCTGAGGCGCTAACGCGCGATCGCTGCGAGCTGGCAGGGGCTGGGTTTGGTTCGGCACGTTTCGGTAGCGGGTCCAGACGGAGCGACGAGAGCACGGGCAAGCACCGCCGGGGCGACGGGCTGCCCCAGCCGTAAGTAAGCGCCAGCAAGGAGGGCGCGCTGCGGGAAAGGGCCGGGCGCTACTTCGGGCTGGGTGTGTACGCACGGCGGCGTGGCCTGAGTCGGGGGCAGGGCAGTGAAGGGGCCGAAGGGGCCGCACCCGCCACCACCCCCGCCCCGGCGGCGCCCCCAGCGCCGCGTCCCCGGGGAGCCGCCCCGCCCGCCCGGCGCGGTGCACCACGGGAGTTGTAGTCCGGCGGCGCGGACCGGCCCGCCATCGCCCTCCCCTGCCCGCCGCCCCCGGCCCGCGGCCGCTCTCGCGAGGCTTCGGGGGCCGGGCGCGCGCTGGGGCGGGGGGCGCCGCCGCCGCCGCCGGGGGGATGTTGGGCGCGGGCGCGGTCCCCCCGCGTGACGTCACAGCGCATTGTTGTGAGCGCGGCGGAGCATCCCTCAAGCTGTCACAGCTGTGCCGCCGCCGCGGGGAGCCTCCCCCCCCACACCTCCGCCTCCTCCGCCTCCTCCGCCTCCTCCG